CTACAGTCACACATAGTGCTGTATACTACAGTCACACATAGTACTGTATACTACAGTCACACATAGTACTGTATACTACAGTCACACATGGTACGGTATACTACAGGCACACATAGTACTGTAAACTACAGTCACACATAGTGCTGTATACTACAGTCACACATAGTACTGTATGCTACAGTCACACATAGTACTGTATGCTACAGTCACACATAGTACTGTATACTACAGTCACACATAGTACTGTAAACTACAGTCACACATAGTACTGTATGCTACAGTCACACATAGTACTGTATGCTACAGTCACACATAGTACTGTATACTACAGTCACACATAGTACTGTATACTACAGTCACACATAGTGCTGTATACTACAGTCACACATAGTGCTGTATACTACAGTCACACATAGTACTGTAAACTACAGGCACACATAGTACTGTAAACTACAGTCACACATAGTGCTGTATACTACAGTCACACATAGTACTGTATACTACAGTCACACATAGTACTGTAAACTACAGTCACACATAGTACTGTATACTACAGTCACACATAGTGCTGTATACTACAGTCACACATAGTACTGTATACTACAGTCACACATAGTACTGTAAACTACAGTCACACATAGTACTGTATACTACAGTCACACATAGTACTGTATACTACAGTCACACATAGTACTGTATGCTAGAGTCACACATAGTACTGTATACTACAGTCACACATAGTACCGTATGCTACAGTGACACATAGTACTGTATGCTACAGTCACACATAGTACCGTATGCTACAGTCACACATAGTACCGTATACTACAGTCACACATAGTACTGTATGCTACAGTCACACATAGTACTATAAACTACAGTCACACATAGTACTGTATCCTACAGTCACACATAGTACTGTATACTACAGTCACACATGGTACTGTAAACTACAGTCACACATAGTGCTGTATACTACAGTCAAACATGGTACTGTATACTACAGTCACACATAGTACAGTAAACTACAGTCACACATAGTGCTGTATACTACAGTCACACATAGTGTTGTATACTACAGTCACACATAGTGCTGTATACTACAGTCACACATGGTACTGTATGCTACAGTCACACATAGTACTGTATACTACAGTCACACATAGTACTGTAAACTACAGTCACACATAGTACTGTATACTACAGTCACACATAGTACTGTAAACTACAGTCACACATAGTGCTGTATACTACAGTCACACATGGTACTGTATGCTACAGTCACACATGGTACTGTATGCTACAGTCACACATAGTACTGTATACTACAGTCACACATAGTACTGTATACTACAGTCACACATAGTACTGTATACTACAGTCACACATAGTACTGTATACTACAGTCACACATAGTACTGTATACTACAGTCACACATAGTACTGTATACTACAGTCACACATAGTACTGTATGCTACAGTCACACATAGTACTGTATACTACAGTCACACATAGTACTGTATACTACAGTCACACATAGTGCTGTATACTACAGTCACACATAGTACTGTAAAATACAGTCACACATAGTACTGTATGCTACAGTCACACATAGTACTTGTAGTCAATAATTCCCTTTGACTGACGTATCCAAAGTCGATGCAAGAGCGAGACAAGAGATCTTCACGTTTAACATCTGCATTTAATTATCTTTACAATCAGATACAGAATATTCAACAAAAAAAGTGCTCCTAAACTAATATGTCCCTCTCCTGGCCCTCGGCTGACTGACTGCCAATCTCCTCCCAGCAGTTTCTATCAAAGGGTCCGATGACGTCACAGATCTGGGACTGGTCTGGCCCCTGGTCCTGGTCTGGACCCGGTCTTCCATCTCCACCTGAGCAAACAATGCCCCCCACCACTGGGCGCCTGATTGTGTTGGACTTTTGCCGTCGTCGAGAGTGGGAGAGAGCATTTGTTTATTCTTGGAGTCAATAATTGTCTGGTTTTGTAAGCTGGTCATCTCTTATGATTCCTGAGTGCATATTCCTTTGTCTGATGTGCAGCATTTTGTGAATATTCGTCATACTGTATACTACAGTCACACATAGTACTGTATCCTACAGTCACGCATAGTACTGTATACTACAGTCACACATAGTACTGTATACTACAGTCACACATAGTACTGTATACTACAGTCACACATAGTACTGTATACTACTGTCACACATAGTACTGTAGTTTACAGTGTTTGGAGGTTGATTAGTTTTACTGTGTTTTGTTTTGACACATGTTTGAAACATGATCTTTGACATGAGACCATAAAAGTGTAAACACAGTATATTCAGAAACACTGTTAACAAAGATCAGAAAGACCTCACACTGGATAAATACAGTACATGTCATATTTGGCACATATAGAATCACTCAGACAGGGACAGAAGTGTGCAACATGTTTAGGTTAAACCATGTTAAAGTTAAAACATGTTTAGGTTAAAACATGTTAAAGGTTAAAACATGTTAAAGTTAAACATGTTAAAGGTTAAAGCATGTTAAAGGTTAAAGCATGTTAAAGGTTAAAACATGTTTAGGTTAAACCATGTTAAAGTTAAAACATGTTTAGGTTAAAACATGTTAAAGGTTAAAACATGTTAAAGTTAAACATGTTAAAGGTTAAAACATGTTAAAGGTTAAAACATGTGAAAGTTAAAACATGTTAAAGTTAAAACATGTTAAAGTTAAAACATGTTAAAGGTTAAAACATGTTAAAGGTTAAAACATGTTAAAGGTTAAAACATGTTAAAGTTAAAACATGTTAAAGGTCACAACATGTTAAAGTTAAACATGTTAAAGGTTACAACATGTTAAAGTTAAAACATGTTAAAGTTAAACATGTTAAAGGTTACAACATGTTAAAGTTAAAACATGTTAAAGTTAAACATGTTAAAGGTTAAAACATGTTAAAGTTACACATGTTAAAGTTAAACATGTTAAAGGTTACATGTTAAAGTTAAACATGTTAATGGGTTAAAACATGTAAAGGTTAAAACATGTGAAAGTTAAAACATGTTAAAGTTAAACATGTTAAAGGTTAAAGCATGTTAAAGGTTAAAACATGTTAAAGTTAAAACATGTTAAAGGTTAAAACATGTTAAAGTTAAAACATGTTAAAGGTTAAAACATGTTAAAGTTAAAACATGTTAAAGGTTACAACATGTTAAAGTTAAACATGTTAAAGGTTACAACATGTTAAAGTTAAAACATGTTAAAGTTAAACATGTTAAAGGTTAAAACATGTTAAAGTTAAAACATGTTAAAGGTTACAACATGTTAAAGTTAAAACATGTTAAAGTTAAACATGTTAAAGGTTAAAACATGTTAAAGTTAAACATGTTAAAGGTTAAAACATGTTAAAGGTTAAAACATGTTAAAGTTAAACATGTTAAAGTTAAACATGTTAAAGTTAAAACATCCAGTGTTTACAATCTGTCTGTCTCTACACCCAGTGTTTAGAATCTGTCTGTCTCTACACCAAGTGTTTAGAATCTGTCTGTCTCTACACCCAGAGTTTAGAATCTGTCTCTACACCCAGTGTTTAGAATCTGTCTGTCTCTACATCCAGTGTTTAGAATCTGTCTCTACACCCAGTGTTTACAATCTGTCTGTCTCTACACCCAGTGTTTAGAATATGTCTGTCTCTACACCCAGAGTTTAGAATCTGTCTGTCTCTACACCCAGTGTTTAGAATCTGTCTGTCTCTACACCCAGTGAATAGAATCTGTCTCCTGCTCTACCGTCCACCATTTGGTCTCTTAAGGAACTTTTAAGTCTCTAAAAGTCCTCTCCACTCTTCAGAGATCTCACCTCAGGAGCTCTCTTAAGAGCTAGGATTCTTTAGGAATAGCTTTTTTCTTAACTAGGATCTACTCCTCACTTTTAGGGGAAATTCTAAGAGTAGGTCAAGGTTCTAAGAAAATTCTTAGAATTTGGAAACTAGGAGCAACTTTAAGCACTAAAAATCTTTAGGAATACAGGTCCTGGCCTCGGTCCTGGCCTCGGTCCTGGTCTCGGTCCCGGTCTGGTTGTAGTCCAACATTAACATGATTCTATTTCAAACACGAGTCATGAACTGGAGACAACACTTTTATTCACAAACACGAGACACTATTAAATACAAACGAGATCAAAGGAAGCTGCGAGATCCGACACCGAACACACTTTGGCGCAATAGCAGTTCTGTGTGGTCCTGGTCCGGTCTCAGTCCTGGTCTCGGTCCTGGTCTCGGTCCTGGTCTCGGCCCTGGTCTCGGCCCTGGTCTCGGCCCTGGTCTCGGCCCTGGTCGCGGCCCTGGTCTCGGCCCTGGTCGCGGCCCTGGTCTCGGCCCTGGTCTCGGCCCTGGTCTCGGCCCTGTCTCGCCCTTGGTCCAGTTTTCTCATGCATGTGTTTCTGTCTGTGTCACATCTTTAAATCATAGAGAGGACCACCTTCTCTCAGCCAATCAGCTCTCAGCCAATCAGCTCTCAACCCATAGGGTCAGATAGTGACTCACAGGGTTGTCAATGAGACTAAAGTTACGTCCCTCAGCTTTAAGTCCGTCCAGTGCCTTCAGCTTCAGTCGATAAACGAGACATTATACATTTATTATTTTCTCTGATGAGTCACAACAGATCACAGACTGTTTACAGATGGACAATGCTAACCCGCTAGCTGAATGAAGCACAATAAGGAAGTGCTCATAGATGAAGTTTGGCTTCTATTGACTTCCATTAACTCCTTGAGCTCAGTGGAAACATGGCGCCGTGGCCGGAGCTGTGGTGTGTACTGTCTCCTGTCTGGGGCACACTGAGGGACTCTTGCACAGTTTTTCCAGTGTGGTTTTACTGCAAATGGAAAATAACATCTTCTATGTCCAGGTCTCAGTCTGAGGGTCCAGGTCTCAGTCTGAGGGTCCAGGTCTCAGTCTGAGGGTCCAGGTCTCAGTCTGAGGGTCCAGGTCTCAGTCTGAGGTCAGGTCCTGTCCTTCTGCAGGGGCCTCCTCTGAGGGCCCATCTGGATCCAGGGCTCCCTGGGGCAGGTCTTCGTTCCCCACAGCAGACCCGTCACACAGGCCCTGGACTGTGGCCTCCTGCAGCGCCCCCTGCTGGAGAGTGGCCTCCTGCAGCGCCCCCTGCTGGAGAATGGCCTCCTGCAGCGCCCCCTGCTGGATAGTGGCTCCCGTGGGCAGAGTGAGCAGCTGTATCTGCGGCCCCAGCACCTTCACCAGCCCCTCTGGCAGCACAGTGAGGCCCGAGGTGAGGCCCGAGGTGAGGCCCGAGGTGAGGCCCGAGGTGAGGCCCGAGGTGAGGCCCGAGGTCAGGTTGGAGGTGTCTGGGATCTCAGGGTTCAGGGGAGAGGCCAGCAGAGTGTAGGAGCCCCCCTGGGGCCCGGACACAGTGAGGACCTGTCCCAGAGGCAGGGTACCCATGGTGCTCACGGTGCCCATGGTACCCACAGTGCCCATGGAACCCACAGTGCCCATGGTACCCACGGTACCCACGGCCGCGGGGCCCGACACGGCGCGGGTGAGGCGCGGGCGCTTGGCGGGGGCAGGACACGGCACCGGGGTCAGAGTCATTAGCACATTGTTCAGGTGCTGAGAGCGGCTCTTCAGCTCTTTGGCTCTTTGTCTGTGTTCATCACACTGCTGCTCCAGAGCTGCACACAGGGACAGGGTTAGCACAGGGACAGGGTTAGCACAGGGACAGGGTTAGCACTCCCTGCTCTCTCTCTCTCTGCTGCTACTTCATGCATTTCACAGATTGTTATTTTTCGAACACATCACCCCTGTCATAAACCAGGGACCAGTGTGTCTCTGTAGCTGGTCCTGGGCCATGACCAGGTGAGTCCGCTCTCCTCTGGTCTACGCTGACAGAATAATGAATGAGAGAGAGAGCCGTGTGAGAGAACTCCCTGTGGTCGCACTGTCCATCACTCAGGCCTTTTCGGACTGAGCAGGACCAGGGCCAGCTCAGAACAGCAGGGGGGGAGGCGAGAGGGTGAAAGGGTGAGCGGGGGAGGCGAGAGGGTGAAGGGGGGGGGTGTTCAGGGACCGGCCTAATTAGCAGGAGTTCACAGAGTGTTGTGGAAAGGTGAGGCTGCTGGTTCCATCGTTGGCTCCGCTCACACAGACCTGACACTCGCGCCTCATTAAACTGTTGTTTTGCAGAAACACTAAAAACCATGAACTTTCAGTTTCTTCCAAAAACACAAAGATTTAATTTACCAGAAAGTAACAGACGACTGTGAAGTGAACTCAGACTGGAGCTGGATTACTCTGTTTCTTTATGAGTCAAAAACTGAAAATGTGTGGCGTGTGTATAAGTCTCTCTCTCTCTGGTCTCTCTCTCTCTGGTCTCTCTCTCTCTCTGGTCTCTCTCTCTCTCTGGTCTCTCTCTCTCGCTGGTCTCTCTCTCTCGCTGGTCTCTCTGGTCTCTCTCTCTGGTCTCTCTCTCTCTGGTCTCTCTCTCTCTCTGGTCTCTCTCTCTCTGGTCTCTCTCTCTCGCTGGTCTCTCTCTCTCGCTGGTCTCTCTCTCTCTCTGGTCTCTCTCTCTGGTCTCTCTCTCTCTGGTCTCTCTCTCTCTGGTCTCTCTCTCTCTGGTCTCCCTCTCTCTGGTCTCCCTCTCTCTGGTCTCTCTCTCTCTGGTCTCTCTCTCTCTGGTCTCTCTCTCTCTGGTCTCTCTCTCTCTGGTCTCTCTCTCTCTGGTCTCTCTCTCTCTGGTCTCCCTCTCTCTGGTCTCCCCCTCTCTGGTCTCCCCCTCTCTGGTCTCCCTCTCTGGTCTCCCTCTCTGGTCTCCCTCTCTGGTCTCCCTCTCTGGTCTCCCTCTCTGGTCTCCCTCTCTGGTCCTCCCTCTCTGGTCTCCCTCTCTGGTCTCCCTCTCTGGTCTCTGTCCATGGTCCTGACCTGCCAGGCTTCTGGAGTACTGCTCTCGGTATCGGTCCATCTGGCTCTTGTGACTCGCCAGAACCTTCTTCACCAGATCCAACATCCCAAAGTTCTGCACGATGTTGTTCAGCAGCACCGCATCTGCAACAAGAGCGGGTTAAAGCTCGGTGACGTAACTTTAGTCTCAGGGAACAGAGAGGGACCAGAGGGAGACCAGAGAGAGACCAGAGAGAGTCCAGAGAGAGTCCAGAGAGAGGCCAGAGAGAGGCCAGAGAGAGACCAGAGAGAGACCAGAGAGAGACCAGAGAGAGTCCAGAGAGAGTCCAGAGAGAGTCCAGAGAGAGTCCAGAGAGAGGCCAGAGAGAGACCAGAGAGAGACCAGAGAGAGACCAGAGAGAGACCAGAGAGAGTCCAGAGAGAGACAAGAGAGAGACCAGAGAGAGACCAGAGAGAGTCCAGAGAGAGACAAGAGAGAGACCAGAGAGAGCCCAGAGAGAGACAAGAGAGAGACAAGAGAGAGACAAGAGAGACCAGAGAGAGAAGTTGGTGTGAATGATAAAGTGTAGGTACATATTGAGACAATGAAGGGCTCTGAGCCTGTGGATAAATGAGACCGAGGTAGGTCTCACTGGAACCATGAGTGTGTTTTCTTCTTCAGGTTTCAGAGCGTTTCCGTGACTCAAACACACGTCTGTTGTGTATATTTGCAGAAGCCTCTGAAAGTCTCCTCTGCTGGTGTTTGCTGAGGCACCAGGACGGCCACTCACGTCACCATGTATTTACAGAAGGAACCATGGTGTACAAGCTAAACAAGTCATGGACTAGAGAGAGACCAGAGAGAGAGACCAGAGAGAGACCAGGAGAGAGACCAGAGAGAGACCAGGAGAGAGACCAGAGAGAGAACAGAGTGAGGCCAGGAGAGAGACCAGAGAGAGAACAGAGTGAGACCAAGGAGAGAGACCAGGGGTGAGATTAGGGAGAGCGACTAGGGAGAGTCAGACCAGAGAGAGAGGCCAGAGAGAGACCAGAGAGAGAGACCAGAGAGAGACCAGAGAGAGACACCAGAGAGAGACCAGAGAGAGACACCAGAGAGAGACCAGAGAGAGACCAGAGAGAGACCAGAGAGAGACACCAGAGAGAGACCAGAGAGAGACCAGAGAGAGACACCAGAGAGAGACCAGAGAGAGACACCAGAGAGAGACCAGAGAGAGAGAGACCAGAGAGAGACCAGAGAGAGAGAGACCAGAGAGACACCAGAGAGAGACCAGAGAGAGACCAGTGAGAGACCAGAGAGAGAGGCCAGAGAGACCCGAGAGAGACCAGAGAGAGACCAGAGAGAGACCAGAGAGAGAGACCAGAGAGAGACCAGAGAGAGACCAGAGAGAGACCAGAGAGAGAGACCAGAGAGAGAGACCAGAGAGAGAGACCACTGCTGCACAAGTTCTTGGGGAAAAATCCCAATCCTTAATATAAAAGTCAGATCAGTGTGAACATCCATCTGTGACAATCTGACACAACAGAACATTCTACTGCAGAGAATGTGACATCACTCAGAGGAACAGTTTAGATCCTATTTATCAGATCAGTATCAGTTTGTTTATGTGAACCTAAACTATTCTGAAGTAAAGGTCGGTGCCACAGGGATCGATACTCGGACCTGTTCTTTTCACTCTCCACATGCTGCCGTTAGGAACACCATTAAAGAGCATTAAGCACTGCTCTACACGGATCTACAGCCTCAGTCCTGGGTCTACAGCCTCAGTCCTGGGGCTACGGCCTCAGTCCTGGGTCTATGGCCTCAGTCCTGGGTCTACAGCCTCAGTCCTGGGTCTACGGCCTCAGTCCTGGGTCTACGGCCTCAGTCCTGGGTCTACGGCCTCAGTCCTGGGTCTACGGCCTCAGTCCTGGGTCTACGGCCTCAGTCCTGGGTCTACGGCCTCAGTCCTGGGTCTATGGCCTCAGTCCTGGGTCTACAGCCTCAGTCCTGGGTCTACAGCCTCAGTCCTGGGTCTACAGCCTCAGTCCTGGGTCTACAGCCTCAGTCCTGGGTCTACAGCCTCAGTCCTGGATCTACAGCCTCAGTCCTGGATCTACAGCCTCAGTCCTGGATCTACAGCCTCAGTCCTGGGTCTACAGCCTCAGTCCTGGGTCTGCAGCCTCAGTCCTGGGTGTACAGCCTCAGTCCTGGATCTACAGCCTCAGTCCTGGGTCTACAGCCTCAGTCCTGGGTCTACAGCCTCAGTCCTGGGTCTACAGCCTCAGTCCTGGGTCTACAGCCTCAGTCGTGGATCTACAGCCTCAGTCCTGGAGCTACAGCCTCAGTCCTGGATCTACAGCCTCAGTCCTGGATCTACAGCCTCAGTCCTGGGTCTATGGCCTCAGTCCTGGATCTACAGCCTCAGTCCTGGGTCTACAGCCTCAGTCCTGGATCTACAGACCTTTGACCTGCAGTGGTGGGTCCCCAGCTCGCTCCTCCAGACCCTTCAGGACGTCCTGCAGCTCAGTCTCAAAGTCCTGGACTACCTCGTCCAGAAGCCCCGCCTCCTTCACCGCCTTCCAGAACGTCACCGAGTCCTCTGCAACACATCATCAACACCACCGGCTGTAATATGGTATAGAGACCAGAGAGAGACCAGAGAGAGAGACCAGAGAGAGAGACCAGAGAGAGACCAGAGAGAGACCAGAGAGAGAGACCAGAGAGAGACCAGAGAGAGAGACCAGAGAGAGAGACCAGAGAGAGACCAGAGAGAGAGACCAGAGAGAGAGACCAGAGAGAGAGACCAGAGAGAGAGACCAGAGAGAGAGACCAGAGAGAGAGACCAGAGAGAGAGACCAGAGAGAGAGGCCAGAGAGAGAGACCAGAGAGAGAGGCCAGAGAGAGAGGCCAGAGAGAGAGGCCAGAGAGAGAGGCCAGAGAGAGAGGCCAGAGAGAGAGGCCAGAGAGAGAGGCCAGAGAGAGAGACCAGAGAGGGACCAGAGAGAGAGGCCAGAGAGAGAGACCAGAGAGAGACCAGAGAGAGACCAGAGAGAGACCAGAGAGAGAGGCAAGAGAGAGAGGCAAGAGAGAGAGGCCAGAGAGAGAGGCCAGAGAGAGAGAGGCCAGAGAGAGAGACCAGAGAGAGACCAGAGAGAGAGGCCAGAGAGAGAGGCCAGAGAGAGAGACCAGAGAGAGAGACCAGAGAGAGAGACCAGAGAGAGAGACCAGAGAGAGAGACCAGAGAGAGAGACCAGAGAGAGAGACCAGAGAGAGAGACCGGAGAGAGAGACCAGAGTGACAAGAGAGAGACCAGAGTGAGACTAGAGAGAGACCAGAGAGGATAGAACCTCATCCCAAACTACCACAGAAGACACTAATCTGTCATAGATGTTAAAGGGGAGCACAGACTGAGGACAGGGGGATGGAGACTTCTGCTCAGGCTCAGAGGAGGGGGGTCTGTGGAGCTTACCCCCGATGGCAGTGACCCACTCTGAGGCCTCGTCTGTGGACTCGGACAGGGACAGGGCCAAGCCGTTCACTGGAACACAGCAGCACAGACTTTAACTAGAGACCTTACAATCAGAGAAAGACCATTGCGAGAGAAGAGAGAGACCAGAGAGAGAGAGAGCAAAGAGCGAGCAAAGATAGACCAGAGAGCAGAGAGAGAGCAGAGAGAGACTAGAGAGAGAGCAGAGAGAGTAGAGAGAGACCAGAGAGAGAGCAGAGAGAGTAGAGAGAGACCAGAGAGAGAGACAGAGAGAGCAGAGAGAGAGTAGAGAGAGAGCAGAGAGAGAGTAGAGAGAGAGCAGAGAGAGACCAGAGAGAGAGCAGAGAGAGACCAGAGAGAGACCAGAGAGAGACCAGAGAGAGACCAGAGAGAGACCAGAGAGAGACCAGAGAGAGACCAGAGAGAGAGACCAGAGAGAGACCAGAGAGAGACCAGAGAGAGACCAGAGAGAGAGCTGAGAGAGAGACAGAGAGCTGAGAGAGAGACAGAGAGAGCAGAGAGAGAGTAGAGAGAGAGCAGAGAGAGAGCAGAGAGAGACCAGAGAGAGACCAGAGAGAGACCCAGAGAGAGACCAGAGAGAGACCAGAGAGAGAGGACCAGAGAGAGACCAGAGAGAGGGACCAGAGAGAGAGACCAGAGAGAGGCCAGAGAGAGACCCGAGAGAGAGACAAGAGAGAGACAGAGAGAGAGGCCAGAGAGAGGACCAGAGAGAGACCAGAGAGAGAGAGAGCAGAGAGGAGAGACCAGAAGAGAGACCGAGAGAGAGGCCCGAGAGAGAGACCAGAGAGGAGAGACGCGAGAGAGAGAGCGACAGAGAGAGAGACCAGAGAGAGAGACCAGAGAGAGAGACAGAGAGAGAGACCAGAGAGAGACCAGGGAGAGAGGCCAGAGAGAGACCAGAGAGAGAGACCAGAGAGAGAGAGCCAGAGAGAGGACCAGAGAAGAGACCATAGAGTGAGGACCAGAGAGAGACCAGAGAGAAGAAGACCTGAGAGCAGAGCGAGACCGAGAGAGAGACCAGAGAGAGAGAGAGCAGAGGGAGGGTTGGGGCGCAGGGGGGGGGGGGGGGGGGGGGGGGAGGGCAGGGGGAGTTTGGAGGGGGGGGGGGGGGGGGGGGGATGGGTGGGGGAGTCGGGGGGGCGGCTGAGGAGTGGATGGAGCGTTGGAGAGGGCGGCATAGAAGGGAGGTGGAAGGGGGGCGCAGGAGTGGGGGACAGGGTGGAGTGGGGGAGGGACCGGGGGGGGGGGCGGGGTGGGGGGTGGGGGGAGGGGGGAGGGAGAGGGTACGGGGGGGGTGAGGGGGAGCGGGAGGGAGAGGGGGGGGGGGGGGGGGGGGGCGGCGACAGGGGGCCGGGGGGGCGGGGGTGGAGGGGCAGGGGGAGATCCAGGGGGACGGGGGGAGGCGGGGTGTCGGGAGAGGGGAGGGGGGGGCGGGAGAGGGGGGAGTGAGGGGGGGGAGGAGGGGGGGGGGGGGGCGGGGGGGGTGCGGGAGCGAGGGGCTCGGGTGGGAGGGGGGGGGTGGGGGAGGGGGTGGCGAGGGTCGATCTCACAGTGGTGCGGCGGGGGCTGGAAGGGGGGGGTCAGAAGGCACCAGCAGAGCTCAGGGACACTTTGGTTCCACCAGGGTCGATCTGGTGCGTCTGCAGGTGTTGGAGCAGACTTTGAGTGCGGGAAGAAGGTCAGCTCACCAGGTCCTGATCTTCCTGAGGAGAAAAAGAGGGGGGGCGGGGAGGGAGGGAGGGGAGGGGTGAGAGGGAGGGTGGGGAGGGTCGGGGAGGGGGGTGGGGGGAGGGGGGGGTGGGGGGGGAGGGGGGGGGGGGAGGGGAGCGGGGGGGGAGGGGGGGAGGGGGGGGGGGGGGGGGAGGGGGGGACGGGGTGGGGGAAGGAGGGGGGGGGGGGGCGTGGGGGGGGGGGGGGTGGGGGGGGGTGGGGAGGGTGGGGGGGGGGGGGGTGGGGGGCGGGGGGGGGAGGGGGGGGGGAGGGGGAGGGGGGGGGGGGGGGGGGGGGGAGTGGGGGGGGGCGGGGGTGAGGGGGGGGATGGGGGGGTGGGAGGGGGGGGGGGGGTGAGGGGGGGGGTGGGGGGAGGGGGAGGAGGGGGGGAGGGTGATAGGGAGGGGGGGGGGGGGAGGGGAGGGTGAGAGGGGGGAAGAGGAGGGGGGGGGGAGAGAGGGGGGGAGAGGAGGGGTGGGTGAGCGAGGGGGAGAGAGGGCAGGGGAGAGAGGGAGAGAGGGGGGAGAGAGGAGAGAGAGGGGGAGAGAGGGGGGGTGAGCGAGGGGGAGAGGGGAGGGGAGGGAGATGGAGTGAGGGAGGAGAGAGGGGAGGGTGAGGCGAAGGGGGAGAGAGGGCAAGAGGTGAGAGAGGAGGAGAGAGAAAGGGGAGGAGAAAGGAGGGAGAGAGGGGTGAGGGGGTGAGGAGGGGTGGCCCGGCTCACCTCAGCATGGTACCGTTCAGCCTGATGGCTCGTTTCCAGTCTTTCAGAGTCGACTTTCCCGCTAAACACACAAACTCTTTGGGACTGATGAGCTGAGAGTTAAACTGAGGAGAGGAAGAAGAAGAAGAAGGTCAGTGGTACCTGCTCTAGACTGTAGGACACACAGAGTACTGCTCTAGACTGTGTAGGACACACAGAGTACTGCTCTAGACTGTAGAAGGAACACACAGAGTACTGCTCTAGACTGTAGTAGAGACACAGAGTACTGCTCTAGACTGTAGTAGGACACAGAGTACTGCTCTAGACTTAGTAGGACACAGAGTACTGCTCTAGACTGTAGGACACACAGAGTACTGCTCTAGACTGTAGTAGGACACACAGAGTACTGCTCTAGACTGTAGGACACACAGAGTACTGCTCTAGACTGTAGTAGGACACACAGAGTACTGCTCTAGACTGTAGTAGGACACACAGAGTACTGCTCTAGACTGTAGGGACACAGAGTACTGCTCTAGACTGTGGTAGGACACACACACAGAGTACTGCTCTGGACTGTAGTAGGACACAGAGTACTGCTCTAGACTGTAGAAGAACACACAGAGTACTGCTCTAGACTGTAGGACACAGAGTACTGCTCTAGACTGTAGTAGGACACAGAGTACTGCTCTAGACTGTAGTAGGACACAGAGTACTGCTCTAGACTGTAGTAGGACACAGAGTACTGCTCTAGACTGTAGTAGGACATACAGAGTACTGCTCTAGACTGTAGTAGGACACACAGAGTACTGCTCTAGACTGTAGTAGGACACACAGAGTACTGCTCTAGACTGTAGTAGGACACAGAGTACTGCTCTAGACTGTAGAGGACACACCAGAGTACTGCTCTAGACTGTAGGACACAGAGTACTGCTCTAGACTGTAGGGACACAGAGTACTGCTCTGACTGTAGTAGAGAACACAGAGTACTGCTCTAGACTGTGTAGTAGGACTGCTCTAGACTGTAGTAGACACACAGAGACTGCTCTAGACTGTAGTAGGACACACAGAGTGCTCTAGACTGTAGTAGGACACAGAGTCACTCTAGACTGTAAGTAGGACACACAGAGTCTGCTCTAGACTGCTAGGACACACAGAGTACTGCTCTAGACTGTAGTAGGACACACAGAGTACTGCTCTAGACTGTAGTAGGACACTCAGAGACTGCTCTACAGGACACAGAGTACTGCTCTAGACTGTAGTAGGACACAGAGTACTGAGTGTAGTAGATACACAGAGTACTGCTCTAGACTGTAGTAGGACACAGAGTAACTGCTCTAAGACTACTGTAGTAGACACAGAGTCTGCTCTAATGACTGTAGTAGGACACAGAGTACTGCTCTAGACTGTAGTAGGACACAGAGTACTGCTCTAGACTGTAGTAGGACACAGAGTACTGCTCTAGACTGTAGTAGGACACACAGAGTCTGCTCTAGACTGTAGTAGGACACACAGAGTACTGCTCTAGACTGTAGTAGGACACACACACAGAGAACTGCTCTAGACTGTAGTAGGAGACACAGAGTACTGCTCTAGACTGTAGTAGGACACAGAGTACTGCTCTAGACTGTAGTAGGACACAGAGTACTGCTCTAGACTGTAGTAGGACACAGAGTACTGCTCTAGACTGTAGTAGGACACAGAGTACTGCTCTAGACTGTAGTAGGACAGAGTACTGCTCTAGACTGTAGTAGTACACAGAGTACTGCTCTAGACTGTAGTAGGACACACAGAGTACTGCTGTAGTCTGTAGTAGGACACACAGAGAACTGCTCTAGACTGTAGTAGGAGACACAGAGTACTGCTCTAGACTGTAGTAGGACACAGAGTACTGCTCTAGACTGTAGTAGGACACAGAGTACCGCTCTAGACTGTAGTAGGACACACAGAGTCTGCTCTAGACTGTAGTAGGACACACAGAGTCTGCTCTAGACTGTAGTAGGACACACAGAGTCTGCTCTAGACTGCAGTAGGACACACAGAGTCTGCTCTAGACTGTAGTAGGACACACAGTCTGCTCTAGACTGTAGTAGGAGACACAGAGTACTGCTCTAGACTGTAGTAGGACACACAGAGTCTGCTCTAGACTGTAGTAGGACACACAGAGTCTGCTCTAGACTGTAGTAGGACACAGAGTGCCGCTCTAGACTGTAGTAGGACACAGAGTACCGCTCTAGACTGTAGTAGGACACACAGAGTCTGCTCTAGACTGTAGTAGGAGACACAGAGTACTGCTCTAGACTGTAGTAGGACACAGAGTACTGCTCTAGACTGTAGTAGGACACAGAGTACCGCTCTAGACTGTAGTAGGACACACAGAGTCTGCTCTAGACTGTAGTAGGACACAGAGTACCGCTCTAGACTGTATTAGGACACACAGAGTCTGCTCTAGACTGTAGTAGGAGACACAGAGTACTGCTCTAGACTGTAGTAGGACACACAGAGTCTGCTCTAGACTGTAGAGTATCCGGTACCTGCACACACTTGACGTTGATCCCTGGACAGACGAACTTCCTCCAGACCAGCGTGGCTTTGGCGTCGCCGCAGGTGATGGAGTAGAACACGTCTGTGGCGTCCGTCTCCTCCGTGAGCTTCACTGCACACAAGCACGACTTAAAGCTCGGGTGCGTAACTTCAAGACCACAGCAACAGAACTCCATCCATTCACTCATTACATTTAGACATATTGCATATTTTTCAGTGGTAGGGAAACCGGAGCACCCAAAGGAAACTGAAGCAGATACGGGGAGAACATGCAAACTCCAGACAGAAAGACCTGGGGTGGAATCGAACCTTCTTGCCATGAAACACAAGCTCTAACCACTGCACCACCGAGCTGTAGACAGAACGGCCAAGAGACCAGAGAAAGAGAGAGACCAGAGAGAGCCCAGAGAGAAAAAAAAAGCACTAAACCACAGATCTAAGCCTTAAATGTTGAGTCTGACACAAACGTTACTGAGTTAAAAGAGTTTACTTTTACATGGAGGTCAATAGGAACCAGAGCGAGGAGCCAAACTTCCCCATGAGCACTTCCCATAGATATATTATAATAACTGGATAAGGTATTACTAGCATGGAGCTGAAGGACCATGTGCTCGGGGGATTCTCGTGGTACTGCAGACTAAACCAGACTAAATTCACGTGGGCTACACAGAAATGTTCCCCATAGAATTCAATGAAAACTAAAACAGCTCGACCTCAGCTGACAGAGAACCTGACAGAGAACCTACAGAGAACCTGACAGAGAACCTACAGCTTTCATAAAGATCAGATTTTGTGGGGATTTTAGTGTCCCTTGTCATCCTGAACTTTTTTTCTTCTGAAATCCTTCGGTGTTCCTTAAATCCACACTTTACTGCCACAAACTCTGCTCCTTTCCTTCCCGCTCTTACGGGCCGAGCCCCTCTGTGCACGTGCATGAGACCCACACACGCATGTTTGGTGCAATGCATCATGGGAGATAATCCACTGCACAGAACCGGGAGGACCAGACGATGCCCAAATATGGGAGAGTTCTGCTAGTATGTCAGCGACCGTGCCGGCACAATGTCCCACTGAGCACAAACCATTCATTTGAATACAGTGCCATCTTGGATCACCGGGGCTTGGCACTTCCCTCTTGAGCTTCATTGAGCTAGCGTGTTAGCATTGTCCATTAGTATTCAGTTTATTGTTAATCGCTCTCAAACAGTTGCTTCTGTCACTAGTGTCATGTATTTCTGTCACATCTGAAGATCAGATTTCTCTCAGCCAATCAGCTCTCAGCCCAAAGAGTCCTCTGTGGTCTGGTTTGTGGTTCTGTGGCTGTACTGACCGATGATGGCTTCTTTAGTGAAGGATTCATCAGGAGTGGTGACGTCTAGAAGCTCCTCCTGGGCCTCTTCCTGGGCCTCCTCTGGGACCTCCTCCTGGGCCTCCTCCTGCACCTCCTCTGGGGCCTCCTCCTGCACCTCCTCTGGGGCCTCTGTCTGCATCTCCTCACTGAAGGGAACAAAGGAATGACACCCACTGATGGTTCTGTGCTGAGCCAATCGCAGTTAAACAGAATAAATAACTCAGATTCTAACATATGTATTAATGGTATGGCCCAGGGAAGCTCCCCCCACATCAGGGGCAGGGTTAGGGTCTCTCCAGTCTCGCTCTCTGCTCTCTCTCTGGCCTCTCTCTCTCTCTCTCTCTGGTCACTCTCTCTCTCTCTCTCTGGTCTCTCTCTCTCTGGTCTCTCTATCTCTCTGGTCACTCTCTCTCTCTCTCTCTGGTCACTCTCTCTCTCTCTCTCTCTGGTCACTCTCTCTCTCTCTGGCCTCTCTCTCTGGTCACTCTCTCTGCTCTCTCTCTGGTCACTCTCTCTGCTCTCTCTCTGGTCACTCTCTCTCTCTCTCTGGTCTCTCTCTCTCTCTGGTCACTCTCTCTCTCTCTCTCTGGTCACTCTCTCTCTCTCTGGTCACTCTCTCTCTGGTCTCTCTCTCTCTCTCTCTCTCTGGTCACTCTCTGGTCTCTCTCTGGTCTCTCACTGGTCTCTCACTGGTCTCTCACTGGTCTCTCACTGGTCTCTCACTGGTCTCTCACTGGTCTCTCACTGGTCTCTCACTGGTCTCTCACTGGTCTCTCTCTGGTCTCTCTCTGGTCTCTCTCTGGTCTCTCTCTGGTCTCTCTCTGGTCTCTCTCTGGTCTCTCTCTGGTCTCTCTCTGGTCTCTCTCTGGTCTGGTCTGGTCTCTCTCTCTCTCTCTGGTCACTCTCTCTCTCTCTCTCTGGTCTCTCTCTGGTCTCTCTCTCTGGTCTCTCTCTCTGGTCTCTCTCTCTGGTCTCTCTCTCTGGTCTCTCTCTCTGGTCTCTCTCTCTGGTCTCTCTCTCTGGTCTCTCTCTCTGGTCTCTCTCTGGTCTCTCTCTGGTCTCTCTCTGGTCTCTCTCTGGTCTCTCTCTCTCTCTGGTCACTCTCTCTCTCACTCTCTGGTCTCTCTCTGGTCTCTCTCTCTGGTCTCTCTCTCTGGTCTCTCTCTCTGGTCTCTCTCTCTGGTCTCTCTCTCTGGTCTCTCTCTCTGGTCTCTCTCTGGTCTCTCTCTCTGGTCTCTCTCTCTGGTCACTCTCTCTCTCACTCTCTGGTCTCTCTCTGGTCTCTCTCTCTGGTCTCTCTCTCTGGTCTCTCTCTCTGGTCTCTCTCTCTGGTCTCTCTCTCGGGTCTCTCTCTCTGGTCTCTCTCTCTGGTCTCTCTCTCTGGTCTCTCACTGGTCTCTCACTGGTCTCTCTCTGGTCTCTCACTGGTCTCTCACTGGTCTCTCACTGGTCTCTCTCTGGTCTCTCTCTGGTCTCTCTCTGGTCTCTCTCTGGTCTCTCTCTGGTCTCTCTCTGGTCTCTCTCTGGTCTCTCTCTCTCTCTGGTCACTCTCTCTCTCACTCTCTGGTCTCTCTCTGGTCTCTCTCTCTGGTCTCTCTCTCTGGTCTCTCTCTCTGGTCTCTCTCTCTGGTCTCTCTCTCTGGTCTCTCTCTGGTCTCTCTCTCTGGTCTCTCTCTCTGGTCACTCTCTCTGGTCTCTCTCTGGTCTCTCTCTCTGGTCACTCTCTCTGGTCTCTCTCTCTGGTCACTCTCTCTGGTCTCTCTCTCTGGTCTCTCTCTCTGGTCTCTCTCTCTGGTCTCTCTCTCTGGTCTCTCTCTCTGGTCTCTCTCTCTGGTCTCTCTCTCTGGTCTCTCTCTCTGGTCTCTCTCTCTGGTCACTCTCTCTGGTCACTCTCTCTGGTCTCTCTCTCTGGTCTCTCTCTCTCTCTGGTCTCTCTGGTCACTCTCTCTGGTCACTCTCTCTGGTCTCTCTCTCTGGTCTCTCTCTCTGGTCTCTCTCTCTGGTCTCTCTCTCTGGTCTCTCTCTCTGGTCTCTCTCTCTGGTCTCTCTCTCTCTCTCGTCTCTCTCTCTCGTCTTTCTCTTTCGTCTCTCTCTCTGGCCTCTCTCTGGTTCCTCTCTGGTCTCTTCCTAAATCAGGACTGGAGTATGGAGACCCCTGCTGGAGAAACAATGTAACTTGAGCACTATCCTCTCCTCTCTCCTTCTCTTATCCGACATCATTACAGTATATGTCTTCACCTGTAGCATGTTCATTTCTATTCACCAAATTCCACGAACATTAAAGAGACAAACCTTTGCTCTGAGGTGAGTTGTGTGGAGATCAGCAGGTCCGTCTCCTCCTCCTCCTTCACTGACGGCCCCTGTGCTCCTCTGAGGGCCTCTGGGATCACAATCACCACCTCCCCCATCTCTGACACACTGACCTGGGAGGACATCAGGGCAGCTGCATCTGGACCAGAAAGAGACTAGTGAGAGACCAGAGAGAGACCAGAAAGAAGGAGAGCAGAGGAGAGAAGGAGAGGAGAGCAGAGAGAAGGAGCAGAGAGAAGGAGAGGAGAGCAGAGAGAAGGAGGAGAGCAGAGAAGGAGGAGAGCAGAGGAGGAGAGAAGAGCAGAGCAGAGAAGAGCAGAAAAGAGCGAAAGAGCAGTAGAAGGAGAGGAAAGCAGAGAAGGGAGGGGAGAGCAGAGAGGAAAGGAGCTGAGCAAAGAGCGAGAGGAGAGAGCAGAAAGGAGGGAGGAGAGAGAAAGCAGAGGGGAGAAATGAAGGAGAAAAAGTACAACCCTGTTAAATTAAAGGAACTATGAGGGTGCAGAGTGAATGCCAGATAAAATACAAATCCCATAAAAAGTGCTGAACTGCACAGTATAGTACCTGCTCATCATGAACTTTTAAAATGGACGCCAAAGCATCAGCAGTCTTGCCGTTTTTAGATGCCTTTTGTCTGAACAGTGTCATCAGACGGTTGGTGTACACATCTAGTCCAGCATAGAAGGAATTCTGAAGATTCAGGTTGGTTAAAACAATGTTCTGTTTTCTGTTTCGATTACCATAGACTGCAACTGAAGCGCAGGCCAAAGCTCCAGCAAGGTCTTCACCGGTGCTGCAGAAACCACAATGTTTTGTCTCCGAAGGGCAAAGGTACTTTGCATTAGTTTTCCAACTGTGGTCATGTTCTTGTCTACTTTTTTCATCTCCTCCACAATTTTTTCTCTTTGTTCTTCAAGTGTAGATGCATTCTCTCCTTGAGGGAAGTTGGGCAGAAAGTTTACTTCCGCTCGTCTTGCCTTTTTAATAGCGGAATGTGAACACTCTCCATCCGGGTTACTGTGACTTCTTTTGCCAGCGTTCACCATTACTTCCTGACACCCAGCTTTTCTCATTTTGGTTCGTATGTTTGCCATTTTGTATGTCAAGCTATTTGCCCAGGCATCATATCCTGTTCCTGATCCTTTTTCCTTTAAACATGGGTGTTTTTCGACAAGTGCTGCAGCTGCCATTTGTATCTCACTTTTGCTTTGGTAAGGCTTAAATCCATATATCACTGATGCCATTTTGTCTCTCTGATCCCTGGTAAGCTTTAGTTGACTGCCATTTCTTTCAAATTCTACCCGACCATCCCTTAAAATCAGCTCTACGTCGAGACCAAATGACGGTACAGGAAACTGAACAGTTGGCCATCTACACAAACGCTCAGGGGAAGATGCGCCTGATACAATGTCAGTTGATGTTTCACTTGAATCTTCTGTGCGCTTGATATGAACCACGGCTTTTTGTGGTAGTTCATTTATGTCAACCAGAGATGTGAGCTTGCCGTCAAAATCAGGGTCTTCATACATTAGAGTGAAGTCTGAGTCAATACTTAAACCCTCCTTTAATCTATGAATTAGCACTTGAACAGAGGAAGGGCGAGAGTTAAGTTTAAATTTCCGCATGCTGTCTGGCTCAACAACACGCAAAATCAAGTGTTCTGTTTCACTGTCCATTTCTGCAAAAAAGTAAAAAATAAAAAATTCAGTTGTGACAATTTGTATACATGCATCGCAATAACTTATTCAGGCTTATTTTGAGCACTGCAGCCGCCAATTAAATTCTTTACAGTGGTTGAATTAATGTGAGTAAACTGTTTTAGTGTAGGTAATTCATGCAATTCACTCTGCAATCAGCGGAGCAGAAAGTTGTTCCATCACGATGAGTTTTCAGGAAACAATCCAATAAATAATGAATCCACAACATTAGATGCCAAAGCAATGCATATATTTTTTTAATATCATTGATTATATATTTTGTTGTTAAAAGCTCAAGTCAGACACTTCATATAGTGTAACTGTCTTATTGGCTGCAGAGGGAAGATAAAAAATATCAATAAGATGATAATGATTTGTCACATTATGAATTTTACACTTTATATCCTATTCAAAAAAGGATGAATACTTGCATATCATCACTCACTGAATTTATTCTTTAACCAGGATGAATTTCTTGGGGTCAGGATCAGAATACCACTGGTCTTGTAAGCCGAGAGTGGTGTTGGATCATTGAAGTCACACTGCTGGTGGATAGACAAATGTTGCGGGGAAGTCAACTCGTATGAACGTAGATGCTCTATAAACCAAGAGACATATCTAAGGAGGAGAAAATAAAGTTATTTACCAAGTAAATGTCTTTAATTTCTCCAAAAGTAGGAAGCCCACAATAACTTCCCACAGACACAAACATTCCTAGTGCATACTCTATTGCGTCAATGGTGACCTTAGAAGTATGATACACTGTGTTGCTTTCAGTATGTTCTTTAATGAGCGTTTGAGCCACCTCTGGCAACCCCGATACCAAAATGGAATCAACTCGAGTTGCTTGCACCTCAGGCTTGAAGTATGATGGTGCACTGATATGATATGCCATCATATTTTGATGTTTGTTGGCCAATGTTTTCAACACATTTTTGAAGTTCTGTGCATCTCTGACTGCCCTCTTGAAAAAACGATGCTTGGCCTCAAATCGCATGGTCCAAACATTTACTATAGGTCCAAAACGCTTAATCAATTCTGGATAGTGTTCCAGATAATGATGTTTTGGCCTTAGCCTGAAATCTGGAAACGCAAGCTGCAATGCCTGCCTATGACACCGATTTTCCGGCTAAAGAAGTCCAACAGGCCATCTGTGAAAGCGGGACATAATGCTAACTCTATCACATCTTTTAACTCCATAAGCACAGTCCATGACAGGTCACCCTCAGGCACTTTACTACCAATAAGGAAAGGAAGTAACCGGGGGCATTACCCCCAATAGTTGCCCTCACTAGGAATGACTTTGGTAATGCCTGTGGTCTGTTCACTTTGTCTGTGCGCTGGTATGGGAATGATGTTATTCTGTGGTTTAAATACTCAAATGAAAAGAGCTTCCGCCTGATCATTTCTTTTAAGCAAAGAGCTAGTTCCACAGGAACTGCACCCTCTAAGAGGTCATGCAGCGAGTCTGGAGGAAAACTGATGTTGGGTGGAAATGCTGCAGTGATTCAGCAAGAACACAGGCCCCCTTAACACCATATGCTGGTAATCTCACTTTCCAAGACCTCTTGGACAAGCAAATCATTACTCTCTTTAGTCCTCATCAAAAACAATTAATCCCCAACTTCATTTTGCTGAAATTGCTCATTTGTAGCCAAGCAAAATCTGCAGACATACTCTCCTCTGAATGACTCTAAAAAGCCTCCTAGTCCATGAGCAGCCAGGTTGTCCGTGCACACACAAAAGATAGTGCCCCAAAGACTCTATAAAAACGCCATCATTCTCAAGAACCTGGAGCTCACGGATAAGTGGGCCCAGCACAGCATCATAGCCATATTCATGCACATCACTAACTTTTGCCAACATCGCCAACTGTATAGTGTGCATTGCTGACCTATACTTGGGTTCCAGATTGGAAAGTACCCAGTACACGGCGCATAGCTTATGCACTTTCCGTGATGTACCAAGAGGATTTGCAATTTCAAGGTCATCAATATATAGCTGAATAGCAAAGCACAAGTCTTCAGTGTTCAACAACTTGTTTTCCTTGAAACTAAAACCATCTTGATAAGATGAGTAGTTCCCAATTTCAGTGTTTGTCACATTCAAATGATCGAAGATATCAGTCTTCTTGAACAACTCTTGAAAAGTCTGTAGTAGCGGCACATACATGATAGCACGTCCAGGTCCAACAGTGTATTCAATAGGCTTGACAAGGTTATACTTTTTCTCAATAAATTGTCTCCTTTGTTTGTGTGTTGACAAATCAAACCCCTTCGAGGTTTCACGAAAAACAATATTAGAGTCCATAACTGCCCTAACCACTTCATTCAAAGCATCACTTGTAAGATTGAGGCCATGTTTGAGCAGAGTTGTTTCAATGGCCTCTCTGACTAATGGTTGAGAAAGATCAAAGATCAGATTGAGTTGCTCCACAACATCTTGTATTGCTGCATTCGAAATATGGAGAATTGCCTGCATTTTAAGAAATAAAGAGGCTAAATTTCCCTTTATCAATAGTTTCAGTTTTTCTGAATCGCAGATATCAGGTTCAATATATCCTGGGCACTCAACATTTAAAGATACACAAGAACTAGCCACTTCAAGGTTTTCAGTGGGTTCACCAACAATATAATCACAAGTGTCTGGTGAAAGGCCACTATCATGCACTCTACTTTGATGGGAATTAAAAGAAGAGTAAACATTTGTACGATAGTCACAATGAGTGAATGGACATTTCACTGTTTCATGTCTTTTTAAATGCACTCTGACGTGACTAAATACCACAGATTGAGAGAAGGCTTGCTCAAATGGACATAGAGGACACTTAAAAGTCACAAGTTCATGCGTTTGCTCTGGACAGGTCTCTTCAGAACGATGATTTCTAGACAGGTGACTACCAAGAGAAGTAAGTGACTGAAAAGTACAAATGCACTCATCATAGAGGCACGGTAAAGGGCTAACTTTTGAAAAGCGGCCATGTTGTAATCTATAATGTGTATATAGTTGTGCCCTTGTAGTAAAGCTGGGTGCAGCACACAACTTACAATGCCAGGCCATTTGGAAGGGTCAAAATCTGTAAAAAAAAACAAGTTAATTAAACCATCAATATTTAAAGATATTTACAGTAGAAGTATTTTATTTTAGTCATCATAACTCATTGACTGCCAGCCCATTTCAAAACAGGTACTCCCATATTGCCAGCCATTTCTGATAACAAAATAATTTTGTTTCTAGCTTTTGTTCCCTGTAATCCTCAGTCGAGTAGAGGGAAGTTTTATTGAAATCAACAGAAAGCTGAGAAAAAAGGGCCACAAACAGTACATCTAGCTGTGATCAAACCATTCATAGGGCAATGCTGCCATCTGCTGGCTTCATAGAATATTGCCTCAAGCCAGTCCCCATACATATAAGATACAATAGACATCTGGGAAAGTAAAAATAGCGCGAAACGCAAATGACGTGTTAACACGTCATTGGCAGACAACGTTATACCATCACCTCAATGGCAGTCAATGAGTTACGTATAAAGTGCATGAACGCATTGACTGCAATAGACGTATTAATACATAGATTTCGTTACACATCATTGTATACAGTATTTTGTTAAGGCAGCAGCGCTAAGACTGATGATTTCTGTCAAACTTCCCTCTATTCACCGAGCGAACAGAAACCTTGAAGTACAGACCATCCATCCTGAACTAATTATCTAATAATTACAAAAATATTTCCCTACACTACAATATCATTTATACACATCTGCACATATCCTACCAAACAGACGAATATTAAAAACTACTGGCAAATCTGTTCAACCAAAGAAATTCAGATTCAATTCTTCTAAGATTTTTAACATTGACTCCCCCCTGGACTGCCACCTTAACGTGGTGGGGGAGTTTGAGTACTCGGATGATCCTGGGAGCTATGCTGTCTGGGGCTTCATGCCCCTGGTAGGGCCTCCCATGGCAGACAGGTCTCAGGTGACGAGTCAGACGAAGCGCAGTCCAAAAACCACCATGGATCGCACTATAACGAGAGTAGTGACGTCGCCCGGCATGGCACAGCCGGGGCCCCACCCTGGAGCCAGGCCTGGGGTCGGGGCTCGTATGCGAGCGCCTGGTGGCCGGGCCTTAGCCCACGGGGCCCGGCCGGGCTCAGCCCGAAGGGATGACGTGGGCAGTCCCTCCTGTGGGCCCACCACCTGCAGAGGGGTCCGTGGTGGCGCGGTGCTGAGAGGACTGGGCGGCAGTCGAAGGCGGAGACCTCGGCGACCCAGTCCGCACACACAACATCTGGCTCTTGGGACGTGGAACGTCACCTCACTGGGTGGGAAGGAGCCCGACCTCGTGGGGGAGGTTGAGCGATACTGACTAGAGATAGTCGGCCTCACCTCCACACACAGCTTGGGCTCTGGAACCCAACTCCTTGAGAGGGGTTGGACGCTCCACTTTTCTGGAGTTTCCCCGCGGGAGAGGCGGCGAGCTGGGGTGGCCATTCTCATTGCCCCCCATCTCAGCCGCCATGTGTTGGAGTTCTCCCCGGTGAATGAGAGGGTCGCGTCCCTCCGCCTCCGGGTGGGGGACAAGTCTCTCATTGTTGTGACGGCCTACGGGCCTAACAGCAGTGCAGAGTACCCGGCCTTCTTGGAGTCCTTGGGAGGGGTACTGGACGGTGCGCACCGCCCGGGACTCCGTTATTCTCCTGGGGGACTTCAACGCCCATGTGGGAGTCGCCAGTGACACTTGGAGAGGGGTGATCGGAAAGAACGGCCCCCCTGATTTGAACCCGAGCGGTGTTCAGTTGTTGGACTTCTGTGCCAGTCACAGTTTGTCCATCACGAACACCATGTTCGAGCACAAGGGTGTCCACCAGTGCACGTGGCACCAGGACACCCTAGGCCGGAGGTCGATGATCGACTTTGTTGTCGTATCATCTGACCTTCGACCGCGTGTCTCGGACACTCGGGTAAAGAGAGGGGCGGAGCTGTCAACCGATCATCACCTGGTCGTGAGTTGGATCCGCTGGCAGGGGAAGAAGCCGGTCAGACCTGGCAGACCCAAGCGTATAGTGAGGGTCTGCTGGGAATGTCTCGCTGAGCCCCCTGTCAGACGGACTTTCAACTCGCACCTCCGGGAGAGTTTCTCCCAGGTCCCGGCGGAGGAGGGGGACATGGAGTCCGAGTGGACCATGTTCTCTGCCTCAATCGCCGATGCGGCGGCTCGTAGCTGTGGTCGCAAGGTCTCTGGTGCTGGTCCCGGCGGCAACCCCCGAACCCGGTGGTGGACACCGGCAGTAAGGGATGCTGTCAGGCTGAAGAAGGAGTCCTATCGAGCCATGATGGTTCGGGGGACTCCTGAGGTAGCTGTCCAGTACCGGCAGGCCAAGCGTGCCGCGGCCCGGGCTGTTGCAGAGGCAAAAACCCGGGACTGGGAGGAGTTCGGAGAGTCCATGGAGCATGACTATCGGTCGGCCTCGAAGAGATTCTGGCAAACCATCCGGCGCCTCAGGAGGGGGAAGCAGTTCTTTGCCAACACCATGTACGGTGCGGGTGGAGAGCTGCTGACCTCGACTGGGGATATTGTCGGGCGGTGGAAGGAATACTTTGAGGTTCTCCTCAATCCCCCCGTCACGTCCTCTGTTACAGAGGCAGAGGCTGAGGATGTTGGGGCGGATACATCCATCTCCCTGGCTGAGGTCACCAAGGTGGTTGGTAGCCTCCATGGTGGCAAGGCTCCGGGTGTGGATGAGATCCGCCCTGATTATCTAAAGTCTCTGGATGTTGTAGGACTGTCTTGGCTGACACGTCTCTGCAACGTCGCGTGGCGATCGGGGGCAGTGCCAATGGAGTGGCAGACCGGGGTGGTGGTCCCTCTCTACAAGAAGGGGGACCGGAGGGTGTGTTCCAATTATCGTGGGATCACACTCCTCAGCCTCCCCGGTAAGGTCTACTCCAGGGTACTGGAGAGGAGGTTACGGCCGATGGTCGAATCTCGGATCCAGGAGGAGCAGTGTGGTTTTCGTCCCGGTCGCGGAACACTGGACCAGCTCTATACTCTCCATCGGATACTCAAGGGTTCATGGGAGTTCGCCCAACCTGTCCACATGTGTTTTGTGGATTTGGAGAAGGCGTTCGACTGTGTTCCCCGGGGTGTCCTTTGGGGGGTTCTCCAGGAGTACGGGGTCGGGGGTCCTCTGCTGAGGGCCATCCGATCCCTGTATGACCGGAGCCAGAGCTGTGTTCGCATTGCCGGCAGTAAGTCAGACCTGTTCCCGGTGAATGTTGGCCTCCGACAGGGCTGCCCTTTGTCACCGGTTCTGTTCACTGTATTTATGGACAGAATATCTAGGCGCAGCCAGGGGTCGGAGGGGGTCCGGTTCGGAGACCACAGGATTTCATCTCTGCTGTTTGCGGACGATGTTGTCCTGTTGGCTCCAACGAACCAGGACCTGCAACATGCACTGGGGCGGTTTGCAGCCGAGTGTGAAGCGGCTGGGATGAGAATCAGCACCTCCAAATCCGAGGCCATGGTGCTCGACCGGAAAAAGGTGCCTTGCCCTCTGCAGGTGGGGGGGGAGAGGTCCTTCCTCAAGTGGAGGAGTTCAAGTATCTCGGGGTCTTGTTCACGAGTGAGGGAAGAATGGAGCGTGAGATTGACAGGCGGATCGGTGCAGCGTGCGCAGTGATGCGGTCGCTGTATCGGACCATTGTGGTAAAGAGGGAGCTGAGCCGAAAGGCAAAGCTCTCAATTTACCGGTCAATCTTCGTTCCCTCCCTCACCTATGGTCATGAGCTTTGGGTAATGACCGAAAAAACGAGATCGCGGATACAAGCGGTCGAAATGAGCTTCCTCCGCAGAGTGGCTGGGCGCTCCCTTAGAGATAGGGTGAGGAGCTCAGTCACACGGGAGGAGCTCGGAGTAGAGCCGCTGCTTCTCCACGTCGAGAGGAACCAGTTGAGGTGGCTCGGGCATCTGTTCCGGATGCCTCCTGGACGCCTCCCTGGGGAGGTGTTCCGGGCACGTCCCACCGGGAGGAGGCCCCGCGGAAGACCTAGGACACGCTGGAGGGACTATGTCTCTCAGCTGGCCTGGGAACGCCTTGGGGTCCCCCCCGGACGAGCTGGAGGAAGTGTGTGTGGATAGGGGAGTCTGGGCGTCTCTGCTTAGACTGCTGCCCCCGCGACCCGACAACGGATAAAGCGGAAGAAAATGGATGGATGGATGGATGGATTTTAACATTGAGGGCTGCTAGCACAGAGCACATGCAACGTCATGCTAGCCTAGCACGTGCGCCGCGGTATAGTCAAAAACTTAACACGTTCGGTAGACTATAACTTTGAACACCATAAATATTATGTACAGATTTGAAACATAAGATTTAGTTAACTTTTCAAAGAACATCAAGTCGACCTATAGCCACATGCAGTGATGCCATTGCAAAGCATAAATGTTAGCTAGCATTGGAACAAGCATAAATGTTAGCTAGCATGAACAAGCATAAATGTATTTAAATAGGCAGCTACCAAAAAAATACCGATGATAGACGGGCAACATAATTTGCAGTGGTTCCCAGCCTTTTGTCTAACGTACCCCTTGGGCCTTTCTTTAATCATACTCTGACAACGCTCTGGTTCAAAGGATACGCTGATTAGTTAGAAACGGAATGACAAAAAAATCATATTATTAAAATGAAAATGTATAACTTAAAGGATGGCTAAAAACACTCAAATCTCTTTACAGTTAAATGTTTTAAAATGTATCTTCTTTAACCATAACAATCAAAAATACAAATGTGGCGGTGATAGTTCCTCTGACCTGAGACTGAGGGTGAATACTTCCTGTTCCGTTACTATTTTATTTAGCAAAGTTTTGACATGAAGAAGAATTGTAATAAGAGAAGAAGAAGAAGAAGAAGACGGGGGTCTCCATCATGAACAGAACAAGAAGTACCTGCACTGTAAAAAGTGAATCAGACCAAACTTTGATGTAAAATACTTAAAAGTAATCACTATATACTTCATTTTTCATTATTTTATATTTTTGGTTGACAAATAAGTACTGTATAATATTACCATAGCTCCCTGTACCATACTGAGTTTATTACTTTAAGTGAAGACACTTTACAGTGCCTTGCGAAAGTATTCGGCCCCCTTGAACCTTTCAACATTTTGCCACATTTCAGGCTTCAAACAAAATGATATAAAATTTAAATTTTTTGTCATGAATCAACAACAAGTGGGACACAATCGTGAAGTGGAACGAAATGTATTGGATAATTTAAACTTTTTTAACAAATAAAAAACTGAAAAGTGGGGCGTGCAATATTATTCGGCCCCTTTACTTTCAGTGCAGCAAACTCAGTCCAGAAGTTCAGTGAGGATCTTTGAATGGTCCAATGTTGTCCTAAATGACTGATGATGATAAATAGAATGCACCTGTGTGTAATCAAGTCTCCGTATAAATGCACCTGCTCTTTGATAGTCTCAGGGTTCTGTTTAA